TACATACTCCACAGAGTATCTAAAATTTGCTTTGTGTGTTAGCAGAAAAGATGCTCAGATTTTAAAGAAATATGCGGGGTACTCATTTAAGCTTTAATGCTATATTTTTACTTATTTCAGACTAACACCTCCTATAATGGTATTTATCTGGTTCTATGTGACTCTGTCTCCGCTAATCAATGGACCGTGGGCTATATCTGCGGGGGGCGCATTAGCCACAGGATACCAATCTTGTGAAAAGTATTGGTGGCATAATCTTTTTTATATCAACAATTTTTTTGATATGACACAGGTGTGCCTATTAACATCTGCTTTCCCCCGTCTGCTAAACACTTTTTTTGGAATTGTTACGGCATAACGTGGTACCTCGCTGTTGATACTCAGCTCTATCTTGTTGCTCCAGTGTTTCTCATTATGCTGTACATGTCATGGATCGCCGGTACTCAAAAATTCTTTGCAAAACACAGAGAACACTAATAGTTCAGGCTATGTACTAATATGCTTGTGCATAGCCGCTAGCATAGCATATGTATACTATCTCACTATCTCACATGGCTTCCCCGCAATCATGATGACAGCTTTCGCGATGAATGATGCAGAGAATTTTGGATCGTAAGTGATTCTTACAAGCTATATTGTAAACGTGGGATGTTCCCCACTTTTTCAGGAAGATTGCAGACTTTTTTGATCTGTATTATCAGAAGCCTTGGAGTCGTTGTACGCCATACTTAGTCGGAATTGCAGTTGGATATTTCCTTGCTTCTGGGAAAAAACCAAAACTAAATAACGTAAAGCTTCTGTAGAGGCGTGATGTTGTTATTCATGCACCTTGCAGTTATCTGTCGTGTCTCTTTGGGTACTGGCTGCAGCAACTGCATTAGCATCTCTCTACGGTCCGCATCAGTATATAAAAGGAGAGAATTACTGGAGGTAAATGATTTACAGTCTTTTTCAACCCGGAGCAACATTCCAAGTGGAGCAGCGCGTCTGCAACGCCACTGGCTCAGCGAGATAGATTATGTAGAATGAAGAGACGCAGACTGCAAAGCGGCGCGAATCGTTGCGAAGCGGACTCCCGCCAGTCCAATTTCCGCATAAACTTGCTTAAAACTTACTGTAACAAATTCAAGACCATTTTTCACTCTGTCTGGGATAGATTCTTGTCAGGACTGCTTAAAGGCATCGTCCATCCAGATTCACAATTTCCAGGTTTTGTCGTTTCAGGGTCTTCTCATGTCCCTGATACCGAGTATGAAGTCGAGAGTCCGCGAAAATCCAGACAATCCCCGTTCCGGAAACCCAGGCCGCTTTCCGGAACGGTGATCGGATGGGCGCGCACGGATGGGAGGGCATGGATGGGGAAGGCGGTGCCGTCTTGGAGTTAAAAACTCAACTTAGGGTGGACGGTGCTTTTGACTGCGATTATCCAAATCGTTTGATTGTGCATTTTCCTGTTGTTATAGAAGTGAAAACTCTATCACTGCACTTTCTTAGCTTTTGCTATTTAGCACTGTGGTGAGCGGAACCTACAACAACTTTTCAAGATTTGGTTGGTCACTAGCAGTATCCTGGGTCATTATAGCAAATCATTTGGGATGGGGAGGTACAAAAGCGACAGAATTTCAATCCAACAAATTCATATTTATTTTGTTCTAGGCATCATCGCTGAATTTATGGACCATCCAATGTGGCAGCCTTTGGGCAAACTTTCCTATAGCGGTTACATTGTGCACTTTTTCTTCATCACATACATTCTTAACCTAGATGATCGGCCATCACATTTCGTCTCAATTTGGCGATCGGTACGCGCTGAAGACATTATATTTGCATTTGAGCGCACTTTTACAGTACATATACGCGGGTATTCCAACAGTCGTCGTCTCCTATGTGTTCGCTTTCTTTTGGAGCTGCCTCTTTGAGGTGCCTATTATCAAGTTGGAGAAGATGCTTACTGCTAATCTCATACCAAAGAAAAGTTCTCCCAAGCAAGCAGGAACGGAAATTACGAAGGAAGAAAAAAGCACTCCTGAGAAGCACCACCCCTAATGAACAGAATTATTACTGTAAGTGTAGATGTATGAACGCAAGAGCTGAGCCTCTGTGCTGCTTTTCTTCGCAAGGGGCCGATTAAGTCCTATAACTTTCCATCATTATTTGATCTGACTGTGAATCTCTTTTTTTACGTCGCTGAAGACTGTACTGTGCTGTGTGATCTAGGTGAGCCGCTCGAACATAAGTGTGATAATACGCATCTTACGAAAGAACGAAAAATAATGTCAACAATTCTAGTGTTTAATAGCTTCAAGACCCTGATGCAGTAATGTTTTCGGCCGACATTTTCTTGAGCAGTTGACTCAATCATAGCTGCTCAGTTGAATTCGGCATTTTCGTCTTTGTTTAGACGGGAAGTCGGGAATATAGTGAGCCGAGCCGATCTTCAGTATTCAATTCATCTGTGGAAACACTGGGTCGACCTTGACCACGTTGATATCTCTGTGCACCAGCTTTCTTTATCCACTACAACCTCCCGATTTCGGGAGCGTCTGACTCCGGCTTAACCTTCAGAGGTACCCGTGATATTCAACGCAGAATTTTCCTTTGGGCAAGCAGAAGGTATCTCTGAGAACCACTGCGAATCGGAAGAAAAGATCACCAAAACTGAAAAAGCAGAAAATCCAAGTAAAGATCACGCACTGTGTTGTTAGAATGCTATGTTATGCGATACGTTCTAGTGGTGCCCTCTATTACGATTTTTTAATCCCATTAAGTGACTCAATGGGTGATCAACCCGAACGTCGTCTTCGTCGATATAATTATACAATCATCCCTTGTCTTGCTTACAAGGCAGACCATGCAACCAAAAGTTGAATTAAATGCGACTAAAACTGAGATTGTGATAAGCTACTTAGGATTATCATTAGCCTCGTGGAAAACACTTCCTTCATCCGTGCCTTCACATCTCGAGCATCATGTGAGTGCTATATGAGTTAAAACATAGAAAGGCAATGAACACACAAAAAATTTATCAGAAATCTAGTACTATTCCAAAGGAGAAAGACAACCAGCACAGCCTTGAGCAAAGATCATCAACAATAAAACACTAGCACTGTTGTACTATGTACAACAAAAGAGATCCTGGAGGGCAATGGTTTAGAATGAAGTGGTGTATCTAAAAGCAAAACCGTTTGAACCGTAATTGATTGCTTTCTTCTCTTGCTTTTTCGTATTCTACATACTGTTCATGCACAAAATGCTCATTTACGCGCTTTTCCAAACCCAGTATTCTATACATTTTGCTTATCTTATTATATTTTCATATTTTGCACAGTTTCTTCCTATGATAGCATAAAGCCTAGTCTGTGCAATAGAAGTTGTAGCAGGGTTAGCGAACTCAACACGCCTTGATAGCTGTCTAACAGCTTATGACCCTTAAATCTAAAAAATGCAATGCGACAGTTTTTACAAGACTGACCTGCACATTTATAGTAATTAAATCATTTTGAATTGAGAACGTTATCGCACAATTCATATCTGCTCAGGAATTCGAAAATTATTTAGAGAAGTGCGACATATGCAGTTCGACTGGTATATATCTTTTCATTTTCATTCGTCGGATAGGCTAAAGGGTAATATTGTGGATATGATAGGACGGATGAGTGACTATATAAAAGTAGAGTAAGCTATATGGCTTAGGTCTAAGTGGCCTAAGAAACTCAGGATAGAAAGAAAATCCCAACCATTTCTCTTCAAAAACAGTTCCCGGTAAGAATTCGATTTTTGGGCTTTCGCAGGACGCTGATTTCATATATGAGGTTTGCAGCGCTTTAGAATGACAAAAAGAGCTTTTTTGAAAGCTCTCCAGATTGCACGTAGACGAATTTGAACGCTGCGGCGGCCTCTTGCCGTTGGGTGAGCGGAGTCGGGTGTATGCCAAGATGAACGATAGCTGGCAATAAGCATACTGTACTCCAGTGGTTGTCAAAATGTCGCACATAAAGTCTTATTTTTTGAAGCTATATGTTCTAAACTGTATTGAAAATGTGTCGAACAGTAAAAATTAGGGTATATGGAGCTTCTAGCACTTTTTCCATATTTCTAGATATCATGATAGCGTAAATATGGAATTTGAAAGAGATCTGACCTACGCAGCGCATATGGCTGGCACAACCTATCGTTTATGTTGGCTGCCCCCCGCGGAGTCCATGCGAATGTAGAACCGGGCTACTTAGGGGGCGACTTGCAGGTTATAGACCTCCTTTCCGAATGTTAACTTCTGTCATGGCTTATATATGGCACCTATTATCACAATACTAGAGGGGTGCGTAGCAAGTGTTACCCAGGCAGCCGCCTGCTAGCGCAGCCAGCCGCCAGAGCTGGCGCCAATGCCGCGGTTGAGCGTAAGCGTGCTCTTGTCGTCGCAACCTCTCGCAGAGAGATTTTCGCAGCAGCCTCGCACCTCATTGCGCTGAGTTGCGAGAATTACCTCAGAGGTCGCGCTACTGCCACATATTATATATCGATCAAGAGAGCAGAAAATTCATAGTTTATTAATAAGATACAGTAAAAAAATATACAAAAACAAAAAAGTTAAAAATTGACGGAATAATTATAAAATCAAATTGAGAGCATGATATCATGGAGTAAGTTCATTAAAAAAATATAAAAAGGTCATTGAATAGTTTTTTGGCACAGTTCGTTGTGACCTTTGGGGCAGAAGAAGTCTAGCATTAAGCAAGTCAGATATTAGAAAAACTGACATAGGAGGTATAAAAGAATGTATGTCAAGAGGCGCGATTGTTATTGCCAGATGGGCAGCTATAACACATATATAGTGTTTTATAAAGATCTAGAATTACTTAAAATTCAAAAGAGATATATTAGATAATTGCATGGACTGTACGATCTTATCATCCTAAAATCGATTTCAAACAAAATTGCTAAAGGTCAAAAACCCATGAAAATGCGGTTAAGACAGCAAAGCGTCAAACAAGTGACTAGTGAATCATTACGCTGGACTGAACTAGTGCATGATTGATTTGATACATTTTAGCTATATAGATGAAATAGGGACTACTTCAATGCGAAAAGAAAAACAGTTCATAGTGGTAGAGGTGATAACGATTAGAAAGCAGAAAAGAGCAAGAAAGACTTGGATCTCATTCGCAAAATATGGTGAAAAGATAAGATCATACAACATCCTCCATCCTCAGTAGTTGAAGAATATCTACTTTCTTCAAGTGAGCAATTGATTGTAAAGATAAGAAAGAAGGCGGTAGCTTGTTCAATAGTGAGGTTGCTTCGTTGTACCTGCCAAATATAGAAAGAGTCCAGTTGAAAGAAGCTAGTCTTTTATTGATGGGTCGAAATACCCAGTATCTACTTGGTTTTAGACCTATCTCAGCACGAAGAATTTTGGCCATCAACATATCTGCTGAGAATCTTCTGTAAAAGAATGTCTTGAGACCTAATTTATGTATTCTAGTCTTGTAATCAGGTATAAAAGGATAATTTACGTTGGGAAAGGCATGGTAGAAAACGATTTTTGTGAAGATTTATTTTTTCTATTTTTTTTCAATGTCATTTTTCAAGGTTGGTCCACACTAGCTGCAGTATTCAACTAATGGAAGGACAAAGGTTTTGTAGATTTTCACAAGTACTTTAGGATCGGAAGATTGAGCGGTGCGCATTAGTGCATAAAGCACTTGTGTCGCTCGAGATGTAATGTTATCTATATGATTAGAATATTTCGATTTAGAGTCAGCATATATGCCTAAATCTTTTACCAAAATCGAAGCCAAAATTTTTGATTTTGGTTCAGCGAGTGTTCTTCCAATGGGAATGGTGCAGCTCTTGGAATAGTTTGCTTTGATATTCCACATGTCAGTTTAAGTTGTCATCTGAGAAGTCGAGCTTCGTAGTGCTATATTGGAATTAGCCTTGTCAAGCTGGTCATAGGCGATATAAATTTTAACATCTTGAGATATCCAGCAATTTTGATCTGGGGATAAGAAAAGGGTGTAAATCTATGGTGTTGACAACGAATAAGATGGGTGACAAGACACTGCTCTGTGAAACACCGGATTTGCAGTCTCTTGTCATAAAAATTTTGTCAAGAACTCGAACCGAAAACTTTCTCCTGCTAAGGTAGGATATAAACCATATTAACTGAGATCCTCTGATCCCTAAGCCCTCCAATTTGGCTAAAAAAGATTATGATCAACGGTATCAAATGGTCGAAATGCTGTTTATTTCGACCTTTACTCGACCTTTACTCAGGTCGAAATAAACAGCATCTTTAGATTGGTTCAGGCTCAGCGCTACTGTCCATTACTGACAGTCGAGGAGCTTGTACCGATAGATCGACCGTGCTGTTGCTCTGAAAGGTAATGTATCTTCTCAGACCGTTGCAGCAGATTCTTTGTTATAATATTCTCAAGTATTTTGCAAGGTGTTGGAAAAATACTTATTGATCTATAATCGGAGAGCTGAGGGTTAAGAGAGGTCTTCGGTAACGGGGTGATAATAGCAGTTTTCCATAGGTGAGGCACTTCTGCATCCAATAAGGATATGTTGAAAATATGCGTTAATGGAAGGGACAAATCATCATCTTGTAGAGATAGCTGGGATATTATCAGATGTTATCGATAGTGCTGGGCAACTTTCCTCAGAAGTTTTCGTACAATGTAAGGATGTATTTTTGGTAGAGAGCAAGAATTCGAGGATCAACCAAACAATATAGGACAAGCTTCGGAACGGTTGGAGAATATACTTGCAAAATAATCTGCAAAAGCTTTGCTTTGAAAGTAGGAGTATGATGAATATTTCCAAATTTACTTGCAGAAGCCCAAGGAACTTATTTCCTTTCAGATTCTTTTTCAGGTCCAGAGGTTGCGACCGTGAACTTTAGAAGGCCAATTTCTTTTCCCTCTGTTTCAAGAAGCGTTTCAAATGAAATGATAGCTCTTTAAAAACATGCTTGTACTCTTATTGTTCAAAGGATTTGGAAGGCTCAAAAACAGTCTCAATTGATGGAGCCAGAGGTCTTTTATGTGACGTGGATATCTCAGAAAAGGTGGACTGATTTGCTTAAAGGGAACGTAATTTGAAATCAAGTCTTGGACTATATGGAGAAAGCAATCGTAGGCTTCATCTATGTCGGAATATCCATCGAATACGCTGAGCCAATCAATGCTGGACAATACGTTTTCTATGGAAGTCGTGTCAGCTTTAGAGCAGTCGCTTAAAGATATCGCAAAGACCGAAGTAGACAAGGCCACGTGAAAAGATATAATGCCGTGATCTCCATTGTAAGGGGGAAGTATCTGAACTTTGAGTACGATGTTATATCTCGCAAAAACGAGGTCTAAAATTGACGCATTCCTGGTGGGAGTTTTGACAAGTTATGAGAGTCCCAGACATTC